TTTTCCAAATTGGTCCCAATCGCTCTTTCCTTTCAGTGTGACATTATACTCAGGGAATCAGAGGAAACAAACCAACACTGTGAATGCATGAAGATAACAGACAGGCAGAGGAAGACAAGCTCATACTCACACTCTTGAGAGGAGCGGTGTCTGAACATGAAGCGTAAATGAATTCGGTGCATTTCTTCCAGAGGGACTGCCACCTGTGGAGCATCTTATGTTATTATGGAATATAAAATTATAGAAACTTAAAACTGTGATACAATGACAGTCTGGGGTACATTTTCTTGAAAGTTACTGTTGAAATGAGAAATGCAAATGCTATATGACAACCAGACATTTCAAGAAACTGAAAGAAGTGTCTGGTGTTGAAGGAAGTCAAATTCAACACAAACACACCTTAAATGTCTCCATCCAACGGGGCTGTTTGATTTGGTAGTAGATGACGGATCTGTACTCACTGACCGCCTTATCCCCTGCTCCCAGACAGATGGAGTTCTAAGAAACAGAGGAGGAGAGAAAAACACATTTCCTACTGAACTGAAGGATTTTACGTTTGTGTGCGTGTGCATGTGTGTACACCTTAAATGGATTTTCATTTGGGGATAAAGTCACGTCTGTGTCCCTGATTATGAGAGGGTGCTTGATGAGTGCCACACTTGCTCACTAGCCCACACCATCTGTACTAAGTCAAACACTCCACCTAAAACCATTCCCCCAACAAACTAATCCCTGTTTAGACAAATCTCCCTCCTGTTCAAATACTGACATTCTGCTCACCTGTATGATCTTGCCCTCCTCATCGCAGACCCACATGATGACCTCCACATTCTTTTGTGTTGTTTTGTTGTACTTGTCAAAGTCGCCGCCCTGTAAGGTGATGTAGATGTCATTACGAACGTCTCCCGGCATTATGATCTCTGGGAAGCCCAGCTTGCGAGCCACCACAGTCCTGCGGTCCACCAGGTGAGTGTACTCCTTACGAATCTGAACTATGTCCCCGACCAATGCCTTCATGGTCACCCACAGACCTGGATGGAGGTGGGGTTAGAGGAAGAGGGAAGGTTATACATTTTTTGAGGCTAGTAATATATATTTTTAACATTTTAAAGCAGTATTTTGTGTTTCTCTTAAAAAAAAAAAACAACTCCCTAATAAGCCTGTAAAATGATTTAGATTATAGGACTCTCCAGGCTCCTAAAGAGCAGATGACAAACACATATTCACTAGTGGTTGTACCTCTGGGTTATATCACTGTCTTTAAATGGGTAGGTAATCTGAAGAATTCAAGGTTAACAAGTCATTTCATATGTATACAGTATATACATACATACACATATAGTTCCATGTTCTCATCTCTTGTCCATGAATGTCTTGCTCCAGTAGCCCACTTCACATCAGATTGCCCTGGTTCCTCAACACTTTGTTGATCCAGTGTGACTCTTATTTTTCCCACTCTCATTACCCATGAGGTAGGCAGGTAGCATTAGGGCCTCACCTAAGGACCCAGGCTGGATATTGACTGTGCCCTGACTGGGGTTCAAACCCCTGACCTTCCATACTAAAGTCAGTGGTGTTAGCCACTGAGCTATCCAGACAGTCCTTCATGGCCGGGGTCTACCATACCGGACAGGACCCCAGGTGCAGGCTGCGCAAAGATGCCCCTGAGACAATCCAGCACATAACAGCGGGGTGCAAGATGCTAGCAGGAAGGGCATACATGGAACGCCATAACCAAGTGGCTGGCATAGTGTACAGAAACATCTGTGCCGAGTGCAGGCTGGAAGTTCCAAAGTCAAAATGGGATACACCTCCAAAGATGGTTGAGAATGACCAAGCTACGATCCTGTGGGACTTCCAGATACAAACTGACAAACTGGTAATGGCCAACCAACCGGACATAATAGTGGTGGACAAACAGAGGAAGAAGGCCGCAGTGATAGATGTAGCAATCCCAAGTGATAGCAACATCACGAAGAAGGAACTCGAGAAGCTCCAGAAATACCAAGGGCTGAAAGAAGAGCTAGAAAAAATGTGGAAGGTGAAGGCACAAATGGTCCCTGTGGTAATAGGAACCAAACTGGGAGAGTGGCTCCAACAAATCCCAGGAACAACATCTGAGATCTCTGTCTAGAAGAGTGCAGTCCTAGGAACAGCTAAGATACTGTGCAGGACCCTCAAGCTCCCAGACCTCTGTTAGAGGACCCAAGATTGGTGGAAGGAATAAAGGCCGCCCCAAAGTGGGGGGGGGAGTGGGTTTTTATACATATATAAATTGTAGTCTACACTGATAAGCTAACAGCTATTGAAAAAATTATGATCACAAGTTTTCTCAACTTGAATTTTTAGACTGAGGTATTATTTCAAATTACATATTAAACTTGTCATTTTGAGTTAGAATAAAAATGTTTTTCAAATTATTGCTCAGTTAACTTTGATGAAAGAGTTGCTGTCTGTTATTTCCTGATTTTTTTTTTTTTACTTGTTCCTCTGCTGTTCTTCAGGTTTTTGTGCACATTGCTATAAAATGTAACAGTCCTTAAAGAGAGAAATCGAACACTTATATATCCACTGGTGCCCAAAGTTGATCACATAAAACAATGCAAGTAAACTGGATATGTGTCGATATGACAGAATTAAACTTCACAGAAGTCGATGCGACCAAATATTTATACACTGAAGAAAACTTACTTGACTCCAGGCTATTTTACATAAGGGACCAAGACAGGAGTTTTTTCACCTCCCCGATGGTGCAATAAATACATTGAAATGAAAACATAAAGCAATAATTAAAGAATTTCAAGGCCAGGTGCCATTAAACTGAATTTAAAACATTTTAAAATCCTGACCTGTGCAGCCTGTGAGCTGAAACATGAGATCCACTTTGTGAAAAATGTCTGTGTATATTGGGAGCATAATGTTAAAAGTGTTTCAAGGTGGATTGGGGATGTGAAAGTGTCTGTTGTTACTGCAGATTAGATTTAACTAATACTATAAAATTTGTGTGCTATTTGTGAAAGAGGTGTACGACGTAAGCAAAGGAGACAAAGAAATGATAAAAGTATTGTTATAATGGAGAAAACTTTGTCCTAAAGAATGTGGGCTTTCAATAGAAATGATGGGAGAAAACAACAAGAAAGCGATGAAAAAAAAAGGAACAAGGGATGAGCTATTTTAAGAATAGTTGGTGAAATCTAGACTATGTCACAAACCCACATTTTCAAGGCTAACCATATACCTCTAGAGAAAACTGCATGTGTCTGTTAGTGTGTGTGTGTGTGTGTGTGTGTGTGTGTGTGTGTGTGTGTGTGTGTGTGTGTAGCAGCAAACGCTTCTCAAAGTGAGAGAAAGGAGAGATTAGGGGGTGAGTAATGTTATGAACAGATATCTGGTGGCCTTAGGTGCTCCTTCTGTATCTGCTCATCCAGGTGCTTTTCATATCTAGCATATGCCCAGGGCCTTCAGGATTGCAACAAAAGATAGACAACAGTGCAGTCCAACATATGGAGTTTCTCCACGTGGAACGAGATGAGTGTCATACATAGGGTTCATCAAAGGCAGGCATAAGCATGAGGTACAGTCATGGGGCAATGAGACTAGATTCTGGTAAGGAAGAAGTAAAGCATAAGTAATACTATCCATCAGGATAATGCCCTCATTCCCACCCACAAAGCAAAGAGAGGAGGCAAGGATACAATGAAAAATGACAATTTTATCAGACTGCAAATGACTGCAGCATCCACAGTCCAGTGGGAACTGTCAGGGCACAGAGGACCACTAACTCTGGTGGAAGAATCACATGGTTACACACTAGAAACCAGAAAGCAAACAGTACCTTGGCCACCACTGTCTCCTCGTGATGCTGTAACTTTGTTCAGCAAAGTGTGGAGGAAGTCATTCTCAGCGACTACCCTGGAGTCAAACAAACACACACAGACACACCTGAAAACAACCCATTTAACCTTAAAATTGAGCGCATGGTGAAATTTCAATTATACCGATTTGATTACGTCAGATCTGTGAATTTTGTTTCTTGGAGGTAAAAAGGAGAGAGAGAGGGAAAAGAGGTGAAGTAACAGGGGAGGAAAATAGGACATACGGGAAGAAGGGGATGAAATACTGCTTCTCCTCATCACATTCAATCTTCCCTTTGATGATATCGGAGATGTCCATTACTGCAGAGAAATGAAAACAAGCATGTTTGAGATGACAAAATAAACAAAATGACATATAATAATTTGTCATGTGGCTTCACATTAGTCAAAAATGACAGCATATGTGAACTTTTATATATACAGTAAACCTCTCTGATGCGTAGTAAATTACTCAAGCACAACAGGTCTCACTGTGCGCCCTGATAGCTGATTTTAGATCTTTTATTACATTATAAATGCAACTTTTTGAGGCAGCGGGACCAACAAATGCCAACAGTAAAAGGTTGGGAAAAAGTTGGAGGAGCACCATCAATATTTTAGTAGTGCAAAAAATGACTGAGGCTGTACTGGGTTGTACAGGCTCCCAGGTGTAAATATGGGCGATAATACCTGCTGCAGCAGCAACAGACAAAATTACTCTGTCCTTTAGGGAACAAAAGTAAAAACAGACGAAGAGGCTACTAAGGGCAATTGCTGTTGGCAAAACTGGTAAAAACTGGCAGCAGGATGACATAAAATAGCTTCTGTCTATCATCAAATACATTGCAGCTTTCAGAGAGACACTTGTAAAAGTAATACTATGATAAAGAAAGGAAACATTTATGATTAGCAATTTACTAAGTTTGATATTTTCAATAAAAACTTGGTTTGAAATACAGTAGCACTTTGACCAAGACAATAAACTTGCATTCGAGTACCTGCCACTCCAAACGGTCGTCTCAGGCCCTGAGTACACTTCTTGTTGTTCATCTCTTTCAGATCCATCCTGCCCACTCTCACTATCTGACAGATCAAATAAATCTTCTCTCTGCTCAAGTCCTTGTTCCCCAAGTCCTGGTAGATGAAGTGAGGGGGAAAAAGAAAAAGAAATACAGGGAGTGAGAATAAGAGAAAAAGAGGAGTTGGAAAACAAGAGGTTTGTATGAAGGAAAGTGAGACATAATGAAATCTTCTAAGAAAAATATCAATTTAATCCTATACAGCAAGGTGCCTGTAGTGCTAAGAAACAATATGATAGTGCCCTCATGTGGCCACTTACTGTAAAGACAACCTTCAGGTTGTTCAGCATGTCAATTTCCTTGGGGAACCCTTTGCTGCCCCAGCGTACCAAGTAGTTCTCACTGCACAAAGGATGGTAAAGAGTCACAGACATACATCATACTGTACCTGCTACAGTGCTGTCCAATAAAGTTATACTACACAACAGTTTAATAAACACCCGCACATACTATCAGAAATTGTCACCACAATAAAGAGTATCTCATCCTGCTTAATAAAATTATACTGACCAAAAAGAATTCTGTTTTTGGGTGTGTAGGAATCATAAAGATAAATCTGCTATCCAGATAAAACCAGATTGTTTGCCTCCCTGATATTTTGGGATTCTTTGGGAGAGAATGAGCTGTGTGACATTTACTGACAAGACATTACATGATTTCTGGGAAGTTTCAATGTTCCAATAATAGCCTGAAAGGCATGTGGATCCACGAATGTAAAACAGTGCTGCTGCATAATAATTTACACTCTATATCTAAAAATACAACCATCCCATTCCCATACATTTTTTCCTGACATATACAAGTTTTTTTTTTGTTTGTTAGTTTTTTCCTAACATATACACATGTACACCCCTCCTTGAACCGCCACCTTATTATGGTGGAGGGGTTTGAGTACCCGAGTGATCCTAGGAGCTATGTTCTCGGGGGCTATATGCCCCTGGTAGGGTTTCCCAAGGCAAACAGGTCCTCGGTGACGGGTCAGACTAAGAGTGGATCAAAAGCCCTTTATGAATAGATTAAAATCAAGGACTGTGACATCGCCCGGCATGGCGCAGCCGTGGCCCGACCCTGGAGCCAGACCCGGGGTTGGGGCTCGAATGCGAGCGCCTGGTGGCCAGGCCTCCCCTCACAGGGCCCGGCCGGGCTTAGCCCGAACGAGCGA